AATTAGGATATTTGGCTTTTCAGATTTGTTGAAAGACCAGTGTGAGACTTATGTTAGGTGCAAGGTGGTGCCATGCAGATTGGTGAAGTAGAGTCGTGTGCTCTAATACTGGCTCTGCTGATCATCTCACCACCTTTCAGAAAGTGAGCAGGTCTTTGAAAATCCTGCATCAATTTTCCTTTTTATCGGTACCGGGGATCGAACTCACGACTGCCTGCTTGCAAGGCAGGCGCTTATGCCACTGAGCTAAATCTTCAGCCCCCCCTGCATCAATTTTATCCCTCATAAAATGGTATTAGTAACTGCTCTACCTTTCTGTCAAGCTTGATTTAAAGATTATTTATATTTTCCTTAATTTGTTCTTACGGAAAATGGAGCTAATAGTGCCTATTTGGTTTAAAATTAGAATTCTTATCATATAATGCAGGTAAAGAACTTAGTATAGTTCCTAGCTGGTAGTTTACTCTTAAGATAGCTACAATTTATTGCTCACATACTGCGTGTTAGTCACTAAGCTTAGCACTTAATGTGTATTACTTAGTTTAAACCTTGGAGCAATGCTATGAGGTAGGCCTGTTTTCTTTCACACACACCACTCCCCTCCCATTTGTGTTTGTGTGCCATACTGGGGCTTGAACCCAGGGCCTTAACACTGAACTACATCATTAGCCACTCAGTGTCCAAATTGCCCTGGTTGGCCTCAAACTTGCAGAAATCCTGCCTTAGCCTCCCAGAGTGCTGGGATTCTAGCCATGTGCCATCAGCCAGCTCTTACTCTAAATTTTACAAGTGACTGTTTTAAGTCACTTCCTCCAATTACATTACTAGCAAATGGTTGAATCTAGCATAAAATCGAGACTTGACTGACTTAAGGATCTCTTTTAACCTATCTATATTCTTATGTTTGGGTTTACTGTTCAGGGTGCTGTGGGTTAACAGATGTCACACTGTGAATGCTGACCAGATTATAAGATCTAACAGTACTGATGAAATACAATTTTAATGAAGTTCTAAATCTACTAGTCAGGCTCTCAGCCAACATTTGTTTGGTACCCACTGGAATACAAATTGAAGCCCACATCCTATTGGTCTTCCATTTTAAAGTTACAAATCAAGCTATCGAACAGTTAAATAGTTTTATTCTCTTATCTTGACAAACACACCTTCAAAATAATCTGGAATGCCAGGTTTGAATTTCAAATTCTGTGATAAAATATGGCAGTGGCAGTGCAGGGAAAGTTGGCCTCTGACCCATATGTATATGGATTTCCCATCTTGTGTGTAAGCTCTGCCTACACCTCTGGTATATACTGTTGGCTTGGTTCATCCATAGGAGGTCAGAGGCCTGAGCAGGCACTGCCATTAGGCTTTGGAGTTTGAGCTGTTTGAGTTTAGAAGCAAGTGTAGAAAGGGACACCTGTTTTAGTTGGACATGTCACCTTCGTGCAAGGATTCCTACCCTGAGGGGAGAGAACCAGTGGTCAGAATAAAGTTCTCCCAAGTACAGGTCCAGAGCAGGGGCTCTTCTTGCCTATAGCAAAGAGTGGTATTGTCTCTAGACAAAAATTCTCTTCAAATTTTATTTCCATTCCAAGCATTTAAGTTGAAAGCAAATGAGGAATACATTCAAGAAAAAAACACTATCACTCAACTGTTAAGTTTTATTATTTTTTTTAAAGTTTGGTGTCTAGAACAGGTACTTAATTAGAATGTGTATGAGAAATCTCCAGAAAAAGATTTAATAGTAAAGACTTCAAATAGTCACACGAAAGTTAGGAACAAGTTAAAAGATACTTAGGCTTGTGCATACCACCATGCAGTATTGTACCAGAGGTCCTAGATACTGCAGTAAAACAAGGTGGGGAGGCCCTAAACTCACTGTTAAATATTGATACCTAAAATTGTGGACAACATATGCTTCCTGATAAGTATCATGTAAAAAAATGCCGTGAAGTATTCTTGCAGAAACAAGCAAACAAAAGCAAAAGCAAAAGCTATCCAATCAAGCCTTTTAATGGAACTGGCAGCATAAAAAACAAGCATCACTATGAAGATAAAATTGGCAGAATCACATAGTGCGGAATTCTATAGGACAGATGACTTGAATTTTTTAATAAATGGTATGGAAGCAAGAAAGAAACTGCTGCATGAACTAAATGCAATGTGATGGTCTTTTTTTGGATCCTGGTTTTAACCAATGGTAGATTCTCTTTTTGATACAGAAAATTGAACACGGAACAGCTATTAGATATTAAGGAATTACTAGTTTTATTGGGTATTTTGTGGTATTTTAAAATACAAGGAAAGACTTTGTTTAGAGATAACATATTGGAGCACTTACAGGTAAAATCTATCTGAAATAAAGAAAAAGCAGAATGGAAAATGGTAGGATAGATAAAATGGGAACAGCAAATTGTTGGAGCTGGGAGCTACAAACAAGGGAATTCATTATATTGTTCCTTATGTTTAAAAATTCCCATACTAAAATGTTATTGTTTTTAAAAATAAAAATAGTCAATAAGAGGCGGAGGCAGGAGGATTGTTGCAAGTTTGAGACCAGCTTTGGCTACAAAGTGAGCTTGAGACCAGCCTGAACTGCATAGTGAGATCCTGCCTCAAAAAAAAAAAAAAAAAAAAAAAAAAAAAAGTCAATAAAATAAAATTTAAAATGTTAGTGTTTTTCTAACCAAGATCCTAAAAAATTTATAACAGAATATTAGAATTTAGCAAGGTTCTTGGATACCATGTTGCTGTACAAAAATTAGCAGTGTTACTATACCCAAATCATGAAAAGAAAAAAATGTAAAAACAACTATTGAACTCTAATGACTGCAGGAAAGGGAAGGATTTCTAAATTAAGATAAAATAGCAGAAATCATAAAAGACTAATATTTTGACTATGTTAAAATTAAACCCTAGAGGATAAAAGTCCCACAAAGACAAATGTCAATTTGGAACAAGATATTTATAACATATATAGCAATTTGGTAAATACAGTAGGCTATTAAAAGATCTACACATTGAAAGAAAATAGGGAACTTTATAAAACATGGTCAGTTTACAGAGGAGGAAATGAAGTTTCATAAACATGAAAGAAAGCACAATTTTTTAAATTGTCAGGGAAATGTAAATTATAACCACACCCTTCATAGTGACAAAAGTTGTAAAAGTCTGACCATATCTACCATTGGTGACAATGTGGATAAAAGAGAAATCATCACTGCAATGAGGGTATAGGTCAGTATAATCTGGCAAGTGACCCAAAATGTATATTAAAGACATTCTTTTATGTGCACAAGAAATATATATCTTGTACACATAAACGAATGTCTTTAATATATATATATGGATACACTTTAATAATAAACTATTAAATTTATGTAATATAAACTTATGTAAACTTTATGTAATATAAACTGTTGAAAGAACCCAATTACCCATTATTAGGGAAATGAGAAATAAAATGTTGACATGTATTCAAGGAAAATTATGTGACAGTTAAAACATGGGATAGTGCTCAAAAAATAATGGTGATGGAGAAAGTGATTTGGACAACATTAAAATACAGTTGTGTAAAACAAATCCACTAAGTATATATATCTACAAATATTTTAAACAAGGTAAAAGTATAAAAATGGTGTATAAAATTCATGATGGAAGCTGTGCATATGGAGGGAGGCAAATGAAGTAGGGCAAAAAGTTAAAATTTATCTGTAATCTTTTAAACTAAGAACTGATACAGAAGTGTAAAAGTTAATATATTTGTTAAATTCACATTAATATTTGATAATTCATAATAATATTTAAAAATTCTTGATGACAGGCACCCAAATGTTTGTCTCACAGTTATCTGATATTTTTGAATAAAAATATTCATAAAATAAATTTCAGTCATTCAATCTTATAAGACTAAGGTGTCAGTGAAGACCAGCTGATTTTAGTTTTTATGTGAATTTTTTAATTTGTAGCTGGGTCAGAATTAAAGTTACAAATGTCGCTATAAATGAAAACTTGTTTGTAATCTGATGACAGGAGTCACATTTAACGTTTAGGGGATTTCATAAATTTTTTTTCCTCCGCATCGGTCCTGGGACTGTTCTGTCTCGTGTAATCTGTAGTAATATCCAAAAAGGAGGAGTCTGGAGGATTCTGGGAAGCATTTTTGTTTTGTTTGTAACCATGGGAAAGATTTCACCGGGTCCTAAAAGGACACGTGTTTTTAAGGCAGAGAAGTAATTCCTGACTGTGGACATTGAGAAAGAATAAAAAATCATTCTTTGAAATAGCATTCTTGAAACTTATTTATTTTTATCAATTCAGTTTATATCTTCAGTTAGTTTGGGTTTTGTTTCTTTTAAATAAATTTTAGTACTAAAATAAATTTTAGTAAAAAAAAATGGAGAATTTTATTTTTGCTGTTAGGGTAGGCTTACTCCCACTTTAATACACCGTCACGGGAGAAGTATGGGCATGTGGAGTTTACCTTACATATTCTCTAAATTTGCTTACATAAAGATAGACTTTCTAGAAGTATAATTTATAAAATCGCTTATTTCATTTACTGAGCATGCCAATCAAGAGGCAACGCTGACAAATGTGGAAAAGTAGTTTGCTTTCTTTTACTTGTGTATATGGATAATTTTTACACTGCTAGGAAATTATTCATAAAAATTAAATCAAGTTTACAGTTACTCTCTAGTTTTGAGATACCTTCATCGCTATATTAAGAATTGGGGAACAGATCAAGATGTTTAGAAAGAGGTTTTACTTTTAATTTTTCACGTTATCGGTAAATTTTGTTCAACCGAATGAGTGTCTACCTGTCCCTCAACCCCGCTTTAAAACAGTGAGTCAAGTCAAGTGCTGAACCTCCAAAAAAGAAATATATACCCAGAGACCTGTTTAGCTTAGTCGCTGACGTTTTCTTTGCTGGTTTTCACTCTTCGCGTTTGCAATACAAATAGTTTGGCTTCGTTCGGCCACCGTCGCGTCTGCTTTAGTAGTATTTTGTCCCTCTCCTGCTGCCGTACCAGATATTGTATTACTCACTGAATTCGAGGTTACTGGAACTTGTGTTTCGGGGAGCCGGCTGGCGTTGCGGGCACCATGGAGTCACCTTTCAGCCCCGGACTCTGTCACAGACCAGATGAAGATTGGGGTGAGTGGGATCTGGTTATGTACCTGGGTGGCTCAGGTCCGCGTCTACGGTGTTTTTTCTCCTTGCTTCCGCCCCGGTGACAGGTGTGGGCAGCCTGAACTCTGGCGGGAGGCCACTTGTCGCCCCAGCCCACGGTCCTGGAAGCGACTCGTAAAATCGTTCGGCTTCTATCTCGGGGAGAGAGAGAGACAGAGACAGACAGACACAGAGAGACCAAGAGCGAAAAAGAGAGTGTGTTGTGTAAAATGTTGTGTTAATTGGAATTACTGTCGTTTTTCACTGTTTTTCCCCTGGGGAAGTAGCGTACCAGGTCATCTTTTTGTGGGGGCGAAAGGAAGCGTAGGGCAAGATGACTGTGACAGCTGAAAAGATCACAAGCTCTTTTCTCAGATTATAGGATTTGAGCAGTGATCACAGCGATGTGTATGCGTGTGTGGGAGCGCGCGCACGTGAGCGCGCAAACACGTTATGTGTATAAGGGAAGGTCGATGTGTACAAAAATCCTCACCGCGTAGCTTTCAATATTGCTTTAAGGCAGATGTTCATTTTGACGGAGAAACAAGTTTCAGAAACCTGACCTTGCGTCCCTGATTACTTTGATCTAACATTTTATGAACTGATACGGTCTGAGTTTTCTTGTTATGGATATTTTATTTGGTTTTGGTAATCAGGAAGAATAAAATGGAATGAGGCTTTGTCATCTAAGTGTTTATAGAAAGTTTTCATTCCCTTCTTGGTCTCAAGAGGTATTACTGATACATTTTTAGGTATCAATATGAATTTAGTTATGTGTAAGTCCCTAAATGGATCCTGGTGTTAGCCCATACCATTCACCAGTTTTGAAATTTAGGAGGATCTCAACCTGATACTTCTTTTTATCCTCAGTCCAACATTCTTCATTCCATTAGTGGAGTCTCAGTTCCATTTATTGAACTGACGTCCTTATTTAATTTTATAATGGCAGATGTTGTCTAACATTTTAATCCATGAGGTTAATTTTGATCTTTAGATTTTCTGTGAGTTGTTGGAAAAACTTTAGCCTGTCTATTCCTAGTACATTTTTTCATGCCAGATATATTAATCATAGTGACAGTTACCATTTATTTAGCACTCTATTTTTGTCAGTACTTTGCTAAGCTCCTTACCTCTGTCATTTTATCTAATCTTCATAATAGTTCATGGTGTTGTTATTTTACAAATGAGGCTGAGCTGAGAATTTTTTCCCAGAGTCTTAGAGCTAGTGAGTAGCAGAAGAACAATTTTATTTCCACAGCCTTTGCCTCTAGTCATTATTCTGTGATGCTTTCCTAATGTGATTTTAACAGATTTGATCCTTCCTAAAAAGCCTAAGTTATTAACAAGACTACTTCAGTTTGTCAGATAGTTATGATTTGTTTTCTCAGATAGTTGACTCATATATTCAAGATATTCTTAAATGATAACTGTGGGACACTTCCTAGTAACATTATTATATTTTTAAAATTTTCTTTCAACTTTTAAAAACTTTTTATCGGTACCGGGGATCGAACTCACGGCCAGGCGGGTGTTTATGCCACTAAGCTAAATCCCCAGCTCCTCATTATTATATTTTGTCATCTGATGCACAGGTTGCTTTTTCATGACTCTTAATATTGTTTAGCAGAGCATTCAGTTTTTTGTATTTGGTCGATTTATTTTCCTCTGCCAAGTGTCCTGCCCTAGCTGTCCCTGAATGTGCTCCATTCATATTATTTTCTTTTTTTTTTTTTGTCTTTTTCATTTTTATGGGTACCAGGGATCGAACTCACGACCGCCTTGCTTGCAAGGCAGGTGCTTATGCCACTGAGCTAAATCCCCAGCCCCCATTCTTATTGTTTTCGAGACTTCTGTTTTCAATCTGTTAATAATCTTGTTGAACACTTTAATCCTTATGTGTTCAGTAAGTAGTCTTTGCAAACACTAGATTGTAACACTATTGTGTGTTCGTGTTTCTCAGTAAAATATGGATTCTTTCTTTGGGAGTCACTGTTTAGGATATTCAAGTATTTTGCTGATGTATTTGATGTTTAAAAATTTAGAAGGTATCTAGTTAAATTTTAGGAATTACATTATGTAATTATTATTTCTTGTGACTTAACAATTTTAAGTAATTTAAATAGCTCAGAACAGCCTATTAATTGATGCGCTTTTAAAAAACTTGAGTAATAAACTTATATCAGGATTCCGCAGTTTTTGAAAAGGCTCAGTAGTAAATATTTTAGGCATTGTGATCATGTCTATATTTCTGTTGCAGCTACTCAACTCTGTTGTAGTGTAAAAGCAGCCATAGATCATATAAATGAGTGGGAATGACCAAGTTCCAGTAAAACTTTATGTAAAGCTGAAATTTGAATGTGATATAATTATTTTTAATTCTGTGCTTAATAGCCTTACTTTTTAAAGTTTTAGATTTACAGAATAACTGAGCAAGTAGTACATATAGTTCCATGTACTTCCTTGTTGTCCCTTACAGTTCCCTCTGTTAATGTCTTGCATTAAAGTGGGACTTTTTAAAAATAATTGATGAGTTAGAATTGATGTATTATTAATGGCTAAGGTTCATGGTTTATGTTAAGCTTCATTTGTAATGTAAATACTAATGTAAAGATTTTGACAACTATAAAATTCTTTAGTTTTATTGAATATGTAAAGACATGCATCCTTCATAACAGTATCATACAAAATGGTTTCACTACCCTAAAAATCCTCTATGCTCGATCTGTTCATCCTACCTTCCTTTGTCATGAATGCCCCTCATCCCAGGGCCACAGATTTTTTCAGTTTCCATAGTTTTGCAGAGTATCATGTAATTGGAGTCATATATATCCTTCTTAAACTGGGTTCTTTCACTTAGCACTATGCATTTAGAGTCCTCCTTTTTTGTGACTTTGATAGCTCACTACTTTTTTTTTTAGCACTGAATTGTATTACATATAATAGTTGTTGCATAGTATGTTAGTATGCTCAGGTTCCCGTAATAAAATACCACAGACTGGGGGGTTTAAACAACAGAAATTTAGTTTCTTGCAATTCTGGAGGCTAGAAGTTTAAGATGAGGGTGCACTAATTTTGACGAAGCCTCTCTTCCTGGTCTGCAGATCACTTGGTGCCTTTTTCCTGTGTCTTCCTCATATGTTACTGAGCAAGAATCTTCCTCTTCTTATACGGACCCAGTCCTATTAGAGTTCTTCCTTTATGACACCATTTTACCTTGATTACCTCATGCTAGCCCTTTTTCTGGATGGTCATATTGGAGGTGAGGGTTTCAACATATGAATTTCAGATGGGGAGTATAGTTAAGTTTTAGCATACATTTTGCTTATCCGTGTACCTATTGAAGGATACATTCATTACTTCTAAATTGAGCATTTATGTATAAAGCTCCCAGAAGCATTTGTTTGCACATTTTTGTATGGACATGAGTTTTGTTTTTTGGTACTAGAATCAAACTCAGGTACCTCACACTCGCCAGGCAGGTGCTGTGTTGTTGAGCTGTATCTCTGGCTCTTGGACATAAGTTTTCAAATCATTTGGGCAAATTGCTGGATTAAGTGGCAAGAGTGTTTTATTTTGTAAGAAGCTGCCTTATTGACTTCTTTGCATTCCTACCTGCAATGAAAGAGTGTTCCTGTTGTTTCATGTCCTAGATAGCATTTGGATTTGCCAGCATTTTGGAGTTTAACCATTCTAGTACGTGTATGTCATTGCTATTTGAATTTTTAGTTTCTGATGACATGTAGTATTGATCACTTTTTAATATACTTCTATGCCTCTCCTTTTTCCAACTCCTTATCATCTCCTTTCTCTTGCTTGCATCTATGCAAAAGTCCCCCCTCTTTAAATCCACCTAAAACCAAGATTAGAAGCTTCCTGCCAGTGTGGTTTCTATTTATGTCATGAGGCTTTTCTGTGAAGGTTCTCTTCCTTTTCTTGTACTAACCAAAACCTTTATGACACAGTTTTCTCTAACTCCCTGATAAAGGGTGATTTTTTTTTTCATTTTCAAAGCCTTTTTATCATCAAGCCTTTGGAGGTGGCATAAATGTCCTTTTTGTCCTTTCCTGGTACTTCCGATCATTTTTCTTGCTTGTATCCCTCAAAATACTTAAGCATTAAGCTCATTTTGTAGCAACATTTCGTCTGCCGCATATTGTTGCAGTGATCAACTGATTCCTGAGTAGTAATACTTTCTCCAGTATTATTACCATCATGATTCTTAGATACTTCAGTGTCTTCTGAGATCCTTCAAATAGGTTCATTTTCTAGACTTCCACCAATGATCCTGCTTTTTACTGTGTCTTGGCTATTTAGTCCCCAGCGTTATCATTTCCTACAACTTAATCTCACTTTTAGACCCACCACTCTGATCACCATTTCCTGTCTCACTAGCTTACTCCTTTAGCATTCTAATTCCAATAATCCTTTGGCCCATTGAGATATTTCCTCCATCTTTTCAGTGTCCTTCCTTCTCTTCATGTCATCACTTTTCCTTTGCCTGGTTTAAATACTATGAACAAGTATTGTAATGCTTCTCTTGATATGCCTCAACATCCTTGTCTGATTTTTGTTTTATAGGTTTCTTATAGATAAACCACAACCTTAGTTAAATCAACTGCCCATTCTGTTCTGTAGCTGAATATAGCTGGAAAAAAATCATGTTGTAGCATGACTTTAACTTTTTGACACTAAGTTGACATAGGTCAGTCAGGCTGACCTTATTTTTCTGCTCTTTCTACTTTCCCATTTGGATGATTGACTTTTTTTTTTTTAAAGAGAAAAAAACCCCAGAAAAATCAGAAAGCAATCAAACAAAGAAAAAAAAAAAGCCAAATGATAACAATGACAAAAACAAAAACAATAGTGATACAAGTTTTCAAAACAAGATGAATAATTTATAAAGTTTCTTTATTCAAACTTCCAGCGCTTCCTCCTCCCCCATTTTGCAAATCAGAGCCTTCACAAGCTCCCACTAGCTTACCTTT